AATATTGTAAAACCAGTGTTGTAAATTACAAACACAAAGTCTTACAACACTGACACAACAACCTCTACAGAGAGATCTCATGTAAAGTTATGAAAGGATCATTTACACTGCCAAGCAAAGACAGGACCAATCCCTGCTGCTGATTTTCTCGCTGTAAACCTGTAACCATCAGGCAATTCATTATCATCCCAGAAGTATTTACACTTCATTTCATTTTCACTTCAGGCATTGCACAGTTGCCTCCTTACAACCACAGAAATTCTTCTTTCCGAGTTACACATTTAATTTAGTAGTAACATCTCAGTCTGCTGCACCACCGGAGAGTTTCTACACCTGCGTCTGCTGCTTGAAAACATGGACTACATTCTGTAGTTATGAGATATATTGACTCTTATGTGACCGAGGGCCATATGCAATTCTGCATTGGTATGTTCCTCCAGTATCTCTTGAACAAAATCTAAAATCAACAAATCTGATTTTGAATACAGTTGGGTACAATCATTTGACTTCAGTCAGATTGTATGAGGGGAAGATAAAAAACATAATAACAGAATTTCTGCCCTTCTACTTCAGACAGAAATGCGAGTCCATCTATCAAATGTTGCTTAAGCATCTCAATTCAATCTGTGGCTTTTACATAAAGTAATATGATATTATAATATGACTAACATAACTGAATGGGCACAGCAGTGACTTTGTTTACATGCATTTAATACATTTACTTCAACCCATCCGAAGAATAATTGTTTGCTGTATATTTTAATCATCTGAATTGCACAATAGCTCAAAATTAACAATACTTTTACATGGTATTTTCTGAAACAAATGACTTGTAATCATTGTGGAATATATGTCCCAATTAAAATTAGAATTGTATGTCCAGATATAGAGTTTAACCATGTAATGCACTGCTGCCCAGTCAACAAATCGCATACGAAAAACGGTCAAAGTCTGGTCAGAATCAGAACAGTAATATCCGTGCTCTGATTATAAGAGATGCATTAGGCTGCACCAAAACATGATAATCTGCCAGGCCTTAATCAGAGCGTGCTGATCCACAACAGGGAGCATGTTAGCAGGCTGTGCAAGCTACATGCTGGAGCTATGTAAAATACGTCTGAACAATCAGAGAAACACTAATGCATCATCTGGACTTTGGTCAAAACAAATTGTTTCATCACTGCAGCTCATAATGATTTAATCCAACAGTCAATGTAAAAGTCAGCAAATCAATTAGCGGGACTCTAACATTCATCATCAGGTGATGATTTACCTGTTTGTGTGTGTTTCACAATTTATTTCTAAATACATTTGACTCTATTGAGATTAATTGATATCCTGATATAAAATAAACAGTAGATATATGGTAATAATGTCCTGAGTCCTGAATATAGATAGACAGATAGATAGATACATAGATATATAGATAGATAGATAGATAGATAGATAGATAGATAGATAGATAGATAGATAGATAGATAGATAGATAGATAGATAGACAGACAGATAGATATATAGATATGTAGATAGATAGATAGATAGATAGAAAAACAACAGGACCATAATCAAACTCTAAATACATATAATAACATTGCCTGAGTGTAGCCTATACTGTAGTATAGCATGTATTTGAATGGCTCTCTAGAAGTTTCCTGAAACAAAATTGCAAGCCAGCCCTAAGACAGCTAAAAAAAAGCAACATTAAAAAGATTTCACCAAGAAGTTGACTACTAAAAAGTATACATAAAGTATAATAATGTAACAATATATTATGCTGCAGCATTCGGCTGCTTGAGTCTTAGTGTAGTATTTTGGCAATATGATGCAGTTTAGCAAATGCATGACCGCAGTTATCTCATTACATCATGCTCTAATTTGATAACTTCCACAGAGGAATCAATTAAATAAACACTCGCATCCTGGATAGAGGTCACCGCTTCAGAATCACTCAAACTCATCGCTTGAACAGCAACATAATTATTTTCCTATAAAAAAATAATAATATTATTTTAGAAAGCCTCACCATAAAGTCACCACCCGGTCGCTGCGAAATGTAGAGTGTGGATGTGGTGAGGCAGCTGTGTGCCGCGGACAGCCTACCTTCAGAGAGAGAGAGAGAGAGAGAGAGCGTGTGCCTTGGCGAGTCTCAGAGAGAGAGAGAGAGAGAGAGAGTGAGAGGCGGTAACCTTGGCTGGCCGGCTGAGCACAATGAGCCGCCTGTCGCTCAGGCAGCGGAAAATCAGGGGAGGACCGAGCAGCCTGGCCCGGTGCGTGCAGGAGCCACAGCCGGGAGTCACAGCCCGGAGCCACAGACAGGAGGCGACCCGGTGTGCTACAGCCACACCGAGCCAGATAGAATGACATTAAAGCTGTTTAAGTAAATAGTAATAGGCTTCTGGTCAATTATTAACGAGGGATGTGAGTACTGTAAAAGGGCTGCTGCAAAGGGTCACTTGTAACATTTCTTTTTAATAGCCTACACATGACACATTTGTATTTACCTGAGTATTTTTCATTTAATGCTAATTTATACTCGTACTCTGCACCCATTGTACTTTTTACTTTTTTTACTACATTTATTTTAACACTCAAAGTTACTTTGTATATATTCAAAAAAAGATATGGTAATCTGGTATAATGCAGTAGCCTACTGTACTACTAATCTACACAGTATTTAAGTTTACAATTGTAACTGAATTTGGTCCACATTGATAAACTACTAAAATGCTCTTATATATAAAAGCAGGATAAATAAAAATCACGTGAAAAGATCCATTCTGCATAAGTAGTTTTTACTTTTTGTACATTAAGTATATTTTGATAATAATACTTTTGTACTTTTACACATTTTGACTTTTTTTTTGTTGTTGACATTTCTACACATTCTTTCACATTTTGAAATCACGACTTTTACTTGTAATGGAGTATTTTAAGACCATAGTATTTATACTTTTACGTGAGTAAAGGATCTGAGTACTCCTTCCAACACTGCATCTAAGAGTGTAGTTGCAGATTGCAACCAACTGAACATCCACTCTCCACCTCCCCCTTCTCCAGGCATGTAGACAACCCAGGGCCAAGAAAAATAACTAAAATATGTATTTAAAGTAGAACATTTCACTAAAGTTATTGTCCTCTTCTTCCTTTATTGAGGCAGTTATGGGACACCTGATACCACTTTCCCACTCATAAACTTCATCAATGGATTCAACCCAGAATTATTACAGAATATTGATTGCATGGAATTGCCCTTTGAATTAAACACTAAAAGTTTGAGCCGGAAAATAAAAAGAGTAAGCTGTAAGACAATAAATTATAAAAGGATACTTCTCTATGGGTTCGACTAGATAGTTTTACATCATGGATATGATTTGTATGATAACATTGACAAGTAGAGCAACCTCAGTTTGATTAATCTTGTTGAAAGAGGGCTTGGTTATGGTTACAAGACCCTGATGATTAACTCAGAGATGTGTTTGGATAACAACATTTCACTCAAAGTTATGTTGCAGACTTTGTGTTACTCTGAAGGCATATGTTTCTAATGGTCTACCATGGCTGACTTTCTTTGTTTAAAAAATAGTAAAACATTCAGTGTACATACAGCATCAGTACATTGACATTATGAACTGTCCTGGAAAAGGCACAGGTGTAAATAATGAAATGTTTTATCATTCAAATGCTTCAGTTTTAGAGTCCTTGTATTATGCATGCTGTCTCACTGTCACTATAGCTTACACAGTCAAATAGAACAGAGCCATTATTGTTATTAGTAACACCTGTGCTTTCTATTACAGGTCAAAATATTGCTGGGAAAAACGGCCTGTTTCTCCCTCAGGATTAGTGGGGACAGGTGGCTGTTCTAACATTCACTGACCTGCTGCATATTAAAAACAAATCACATTAAACCTCACGTATCGATTCTCTGTAAAAAAATGTCTTTGCATTTGTGAGCTTTACAACATGGCTGTTCTCTAGTCACTATATTCTTCTAATATGCCTTCATTTTGCGTGTGCTTTAACTTGTCTGTTTCTTGTCTCTCGGCAGAATGTACTATCCATAATCATTATCTGGTCCACAAGGTCAAACTGATGCTCTCATTTCCCCCTGCAGCTCAGTATTATGTAAAGCTGTGATTCTTTAGCACCACCTTGTGGATAATAGTGTTCAGGTATTGGCTGTTAGATATGAAGCGTAACAACAAAAATGAAATGCACTGTTATACTTATGTAGTATTTACATTTTTTTTCCAAAAGAGGCTCTTCATTCTAAATGGTCTACGAAAGGGCCTGGATTTTCGTCAGATTGATGAATTCATAGTTTTTTCTTTTTTAAATAAACAATTTTAACCTCCAAGATGACCTGGAAGTTTATCTGCTATTTTTTTTAGGGGATAGCAACGTACAGTTTGTCTATATGATACAGGCTGAAATATCTCAGTGACTGAGATGGGCACCATATTTTGTTAGCAAGGTTTTTTAGTGCCGATTTGGCTCGCCCAGGCAATTTTGTAATGCTCACACGCTTAAATGACATTGAACATTAGATTAGCATGAAATCTCAGTAAGATTATGGTAACATGCTGAAGTAGCTTTAACAAGGGCTGCATTATTTTCCTTTACTAGATAATATAAAGTTATTTTAGTGGTAAGAATGTGAAGAGGTGCAGTTCCAACTGCTTCAGGACTCATGATCTCACCCTGACCTTTGACCTCTTCAGGGGAGGGGAGGCAAGGTAAAGTCACCCGAAGGCTCTTGCACCATCTGCATATACAATTTTAAAGTTTTTATAATAGAATGGAAGCAGATTCTCACAATGAACATGTTGAGGCAAACATCGTGTCAGGTCCTGGCTGCTAACCAATATTTAAAAATGAAAATATTCTGACGACCGGCATTCTTGTAGGAGTGTCATGCGGCTAGTTGGATTGCTTTTAGGACCTGTTAATCGTCATTCCTACGGCTCATTTTGAAGAAAAAACACATTTAATACTATATCTTCAATCTTGTGCAGATTTATTTTAAAGCAGCATCACATTTCAAACAATGCTTCACTTCTTTCAAGGTCCCATTACAACGTCAGCAGAGCAAAGCAAACATTTCTCTGAGAATGAAAAAAAACCTCTACCAAATGCAAAGAAAGCTCCAATCTAGAATTTTAAAAAAGGCCCATGATGTTGATTTTTTAAAGAGAGGAAATACAGTATTTATAGAACTCAAGGTTAAAACTCTTAGCTACATTTACATTCTCACACACAGATAGACTTAATTTCCAGAGAAAAATAAATACACATCTGATTTCTATTACACAACCGTAAGCATGTCTTAACCCTATTAAAATAATTCTGTAATCATAACAATCTGATACAGTATATACAAACATTTGATGCAGGTGTTTTTTCACAACACACACATGCAGTTTTGCATTCTGTTAAAATTGGACCGCTGTCATGAGCCACACATTTGGTCTTCCTTTACATGCAAATTTGAATATTGACGGTGAATTTCTGCAGCCTCTCATTTGAACCTGTTCACTGGGTTTCCAATGAGCTCCGGGCACTGCTCCTCCCCTTTTGCTATCTTGTCACACTTCTTGAACAGGTCGTAGTTAATCTTGTCAGTGAGGACGCTGTCCTGCTTATACTGTGGATGCTTGGCAACAAATTCCCTCATCCACTTGGCCATGGTCATCAGCTCGCCTGTTTCAGATCAGAAAAGTAAGAGTTACACACGAGTTGAAGCTATAGGAACAGAAAATCTGCTTCTGGATAATAAGAACATTCTGTTTTTTTTAATCCAAGATTACCTGAGGCACGCTTCTTGATGAGCTTCAGATAGTTTAATATGGTGCACCTGGTGTCCACATCCACTTCCATGTTTTCCAGGTAGCAGTTAAGGATGGGGATAAGCCCTTGAAATACTCCCTCCTAGTGATAAAAACAGCAGTAATTGTTAGATTTATATACCACAGTCAGTAGGATTCATCCTCTGGAGACCATGAATGTCTTAAAAGAAATGAATGCATCCAATAGTTGTTGAGATATATTAAGGAGAAATAATCACCTTTCCGTTGATGATGGTGTCGATGCTCATCAGTGTGTACTCCTCGTTCTCACAATCAGAGTCCAGGCCATTCTCAGCCGTGGCAGCGCCATCAAGGCCCGGGTTGCAGCCTATTGATGGACAATCAGAATGGATCAACCACTGCTTACTCACCTTAAAGAAATACTTCACCCCCAAAAAGACCATTCTTAAATCAATTACTCTCCATGTTACCTTAAATGTATGAACACAACTTCCAAGGTTACACAAGGTGATATACAAATGGTGATTTTGTATAATATCATTCCCTTCAAGAATCAACATAAAGTTACACTTTTTTTTTTTTACCCACCTTTGAAGATGTCCTTTCGGAAATAGAACATGCCCTCATGGACTGAGTTTCTCTTCTGTGCTACCTTCATGTTTTCATCGACCTGATGGAAGACAGTTGATGTATCAGAGCACCCTGTGCAAAGTATATATACACACACACTTTTACGAAGAACTAGGCAGTGCGGCTGTTTCTTACCTTTGACAGAGGGATCAGAAAGTCAAGTTTATAGGACAAGATCACTCTGGTGAGCAGGACGACGAAGACCACATATGCAGCGTTTTCAAAGTCAGTGAGCTGCACCTGAAAAGTCAAACGCAACTTAGTATCATTTCTGTTTTTGTATTTGCAAAGCCATGTTACCAAATAAAAGCAAAGATTACAATATAAAGTCTAAGTTAAGTAACAGTGCGTTTTTTTTTTACCTCCATGGGACGAAACTCGACTCTCCAGCCAATGTCGGAGTTGGGAGGTGGAGGTTTGAACCTCATCGTCTGCCAGTTAGTCGACTGCAGGCTCTGCAGGAAGACAAAATAGAAGTTATACTACTTTTAAACACAGGGTTTGATATTTCCCCTAATAATACAGAATACAGAAACGCTCACCTCAAAGTGATCAGATTCGTTTTCGTCATCTAGGTGGATTTTCTCCTGCAGGACGTAGATTGGATCTCGGATGAAGAGGTGTGCTATGTGTTGGGCTAGCAGTTTGTCGATTCCTACACACAGGAATCCAACTGTTAACTTCTAAACTGCATAAGCATTTATTAGAAATCTTCATGTTTTGACATATTTCTATCACTTCCTCTCCTGTACCTGCGTCCAGCAGCTGCTTCTGGATCTCCTCATCTATTGTCAGATCGATGTCATTGTACTTCTCACCGCAGCTGGACAGGTAGCTGTCTATTGAATCGTATCTCGACTTGAAGATCCTGTATTTGTTGTTTTTCAAAGGCTGCAAAGGGAAAAAAGGACATTTTATACATTACACTCAAAATACAAGACAAAAGCATAAACAGCTCTACTGTCAAATTATTTTGGTGTATGTTGTCTATGATTATTTACACGAATAATAAGAGGTAAGACTTCACAAAGCCTATTCACAATTAAATACTTTTCACCAAAGCGTGTCTTTCTTTGCAAAGAGCCTGTCTGCTCACCACGAGTCCGCGCTCCTCCCGTGTCCTGTCGTCCACCGAGGCAGAAATAACTCCCCAGCGACAATCGTTATCCGACACAAAACCCCGGTAGAAGGGCGAAGCCGCACTCAACGCCATCTGTAGAGAGAAAACGGTTGTCAGTAATAGCAATTATGTAAACAAGAAACTAAGCAACACAATGTTGTACCGCTTATTTACTCATATTACAGAAAAACATTGGGATTAAGATCGTTAGTTATGTATCAGTCCAGCTGAAGAGGATCTATCCACTCACCACTATGGGGCAGAACGTTGCTAGTTGGTCATAAAGGTATCTCGCCTCATCAATGCTACAAGCTTGGAATGTCACCTGCAAAAGCATCGTAAAAGAGAGAGTGAAGTACATTTATAAATCACTCATTGGGATTGGGAAGCTGCGATTGTGCAAAAATCATAACAATCCAGGCTACAGCATCTTATGTACAAGGCTGTTGGTCAGTACCTGCAGGCAGCAGTTGCCCATGCCGAAGCCCATGGCGTCCATGTATATATGGTCAGGCAGAGCCGACCGCGCTGCCTCGCCATCGTCCTCAGGGAACTCCTCCACGAATGGAGATGGAGTGCACTTGTCTTTGAAGACTGAAACAGAAGGAATAATATTGTTTTGTTTCTCAAATGTTTAGGAAAAGATTGATTGGTTGACAGAAAACATTTATAGGAACGACCAAGTAGAATACAGTAACTCATAATATCGATACATTTGATTTAAACTTACTTGGCACATTGATTGCAACTTTCTCTCCCCTTCTGTGACGTATGTTTCTGGTAAGAGCGCTGAAAAAGCAAATACAATTATAGGTAATAAGTATGGTATTGTCCAGATGCATGCTGGAGTTTTGAGGCAGTTACCCTATATTGAGCAGTTTTAAAGTAAATTGGAGGACAGTATAGGCCAGGGGTCGGCAACCCGCGGCCCACGGGCCGCATGCGGCCCTTTAAGCCCTCTGCTCTGGCTCCCTTGAGCTTAGACAAAAATAAGAAGGAAATAAAATAAAAGTATTTGTAGGACTATTTATATTTTGTTGCATGGTTGAAAATGTTTGGTATCTTGTATTTTGAGGTGATACTGTGACACATAAATAAAAAACAAAACGGTTTTAATTAGGTCAACTAAAATATGCGTCACATCCTGCTACGGTCCCGCGCGAGCGCCTTTTCCTGCGGGTGAATAACCTGACCCCCGGCTCGATGAGCGAACTATGGATAAATCAAAGAACAGTACCGGAGGAACACAGGATTTAATTCTGTGTGGACAGAGTTATATGCTTTCACAGTAAACGATGCTGGTTTACCGGTATGTTTGATATGTAGAGAGAAGTTGTCAAAGGTGCTGCACTGCAGCCTTTACGTATCGAGGAACAACGGGACAACACGGAGAGGAAGACAGCTGACGATCTTCAGTCATAATTCAATGGGGTATGTAATTTATTTCAGAAAACACTTTTTGTTATATTCCATGGAATGCTCTTAACGTCCCGATAGCAATGAATATATTAAATGCTTTGACAATAAATACATACAAAAATTAATCTTTGGAAGCCGTAGCGCTGTAAAAAGCAAGACCAATCATCTGAGCCGACCCGGCTAAAATAACTGGATGGCCTAACTGCCTGTCAGCCTGTCAGCCTTCCATCTGTGCACAAATTTATCTCGTGCGCTCATTGGTCATGTGTGCGTTAGTGTGTGTTGGAGGAGGGGCTCTGTGAGGAAGTCTGAAGGAAGAGGCATATTTTTTCCATTTGTGTATTTTCAAATTCTAGCGCACTCGAGCTGGTTTCTCCATTCTTACCTACCCTACCTTTAACTATTTTTAGGGTGCAGCTATATGTTTTATTTATTTCAAAGTGGGCCCATTTAATAATATTTTGATTTTTCCTTCGAACGTTCAGAGACTCCCCAAGTGCTGTGTTTAATTTATTTTAAAGTAGGCCTGTGTATTATTTGTAATTCTACTTATAGGAGTTCTTTGTTTCTTATTAGAGGTTAACAGTTTTATATAATGTAATAAATAGCCTAATAAATGCAAAAAAACTGTAGTTTTTGTCTGATATAACAATAAATACAACTTTATTAGCTATCAAGCTATGAAATATGTTTTGCGGCTCCAGACAAAAAAATGTTTTGGAAAAAGCAGCAAAATGGCTCTTTTGGTCAAAATGGTTGCAGACCCCTGGTATAGGCTAAATAATTGCTTGTTGCGTTCAAACGCGTTTAAAGAAACACAAGAGTCTGTCATTTCTCAGAAACACATACAGCAATGCCGATATATCAACTATGAATATTGACTGATTTATCACAAGATAATTCATATTAACTTACAGCCTCTTAAATGATGATATGTGTATTTAGTCAAAGTTGTTGCTTATCATGACCAAAAGGAAAACATGATCCTGCTTTATAGTAAACGAATGTGTTTAAGAACATATCAGTGAGGAAAACAAAGACTTTAGTTATGAAGCCTACCTGAATCTCGGGTGTCTGTTGATGGCCTCGTCTGGGAAAAATAGGGACTTGGACACGCCCTTCTCCACGGGGGTCGGCTGGTACTCTGGCTTAGTGAAACCTGGGCAACCTAACCTGAACAAAGGATCAAACACAAACAAACGTTACAGGGCTGCACCTTACCATTAGAGCTGTCATCAATTATTCAGCCAATCATTTCCCCATGTAATAATTATCTTTGTGTGAAAATGTCAAAACAATAAATTTCTAAAATCTAACCAGATATTTATTATGTCCAATATCTTCCTTTGAGAAGGGAAGATCATGAAATGCTCACATTGGACAAGATAAGATCAGCGTTTAGCTTGAAAGCCAAAATTATTCATTTATGATCACATTTATTTTTCTGTTATTTCCTTTCTGTAGATTGACCCATTTATGATTGCAGTTCTATAAATAGCATGAAAACAACTATTTGTTGCACATGGCTTGCTGTCTAATGATGAATAGTGTAGGCTGTTGGACCACCTGCTCTTGTAAAAACTAATCACCTTGGGAATGAGGTGATGGTGCAGAGCGTTTCGTTCTGGTTGAGCACAGAAGAGGCCTCTCGTCGCCTCTTCCCCATGTTGCCCTCCACGGTGTTGAACTCCGACATGGTCCCTCCGTACGGCTGCCCTGGAGTTCCTTCGATCATGTAGCTGCCATACTCCGGTCTCCAAAGAGTGGGGTGGCTGTACAAATAGGAAAAGTGTTGTGAAAACAGTCTCCCTTTATAAGTCAGAGAGGAAAGAAGCCATGGAGGAAAAAAGTTATCGCGAGGACCTTTCTGATTGAATGAACCGACCGCTCGTATGTCCTCCGTAATCTTGGCACGGCAAACAAATGCAACGTATTTGTGCTCCGGAGCGTGCTCGGTGGTGTGTGCGACAGAGGGGCAGTAATGAGGAATGCATCGGCTCCACTATTCCCACTGCCCCTGGTATTTCCCCTGGGTGAAGTTGGCTCCACAGATTCTGACCGACGTCATGGGCAGCGCGCAAACATAACACTCAGAAGCTTGTACCAACACGTTTACAGCGGTACCCACAATGCCTCTTATTAAAGCAATGTCACTACAGATAGGAAACGCAAACAGCGCTCCTAAGAGAAGAAATTATTGCTATCTCATGGACGGGTGACCTCAAGAGAAATCATCTCTAAATGTTTGAGAGTTTATCCGATTTTTTCTTTACCATATTAACAGTTTTGCCAAAAAAAAACTGCCTCTTGTTCAGATAGGATTTCAATATGCTTACACCAGCTAATAAAAGTTCTCTGTTCACAGCGCGTTTAAGTACATTTGGATGAAGACGTTTAATTTTTTTTTAATGTTTTTCTGCGAGTAACTATGTTGGGGTATAAATCGAAGGGAGTGATAAAACACCGAGACTGGGTGCACCAACACTGAGAAATAAAAAAAATAAAAGTTTTGGTATATAACTAGCGTTGCCGATATATCCGATTTTCACTTCATGGTCAATGTGGCAAAAACATGATAAAAATATTTGAAACAAATCTTTTAGACAAATTTTTCTTTGGGGCGTTGTGGGAAGAAACAAAAACATGATTTAAAGAAATGGAAATGATATTATGTTATGTATGGTAATGATAAATGTTACAGACACACTGTATTATTTAAACGATAATAATGCGTGTGTTATTGTCATTATTATAATTTCTAAATATACGGTTATCCCTATATCCGACACTTCTAATTGGAAGCAACAAGTCTCTTATTTTGAAGAACTTTGAGAAAGAGAACTAAAAGCCCCATAAAGAGTAAAACAGCACTTAATGATTGACAGGGAGAGAGAGGAAAATGGCTCACTGGTGATATAATCCCTACAGTGAGGTCAATAGCTATGTGTCGGAGTCATGAATGGGAACAGGACAGAGAACAGGACGGAGCGGTTAATGCACGCATAGTCGTTTGAAAGACTTTGAATCCTGAAAGTGTTTGTGGTAAAGATCAGGGTGTGCACAGCTAGAGGACAAACTCTTCTGCATTGTAAAAGGGATTAGACTTGTTTGTAAACATCACATGTCATACGGGTGATGAATGAACAATGACTTTGAAAGTCAAATTCTCTAATATAGCCTATAGGCATGCAGGCAAACTCAGGGTGAGTGAAACCCGGTGGGACTGCAGGGAGATATTGCCCGCCTCTCTCATTTGTCTTTATGAGGATGAAGCAGTTTGAAATAGCCACACAAATAAAGTTTAGAAACTGAATGTAGCCCGAGTGGCGTGCTCCACAACAAACAAGAGAAATGCAGAAAAATACCTAAAAGTTATTTTGCAGCAGGTGAATCATGTTTGTAGTTCATCTCAAATTCACATTTTTCTCTATAGAGCTGTCTCACTCTTCATGTTTACATTCTCGTTCAATGGGTTCAACAGACTCCGTTGACGGGATCTAATCTGCCACGATAAATATGTGGGTGTGTAGCAGCTTTAGAGATAACAAGACAATACCTGGGAATGTGTGCACGTGATGCATGACAATTTGACTTCTATACAGCATGTACTTTTTCATTTAAGCACAATACTTATAAAACCCGAAAACAGCCAGTTGTTAGCTCTCAGTAATCCAGAACAAAACCACAAACTGACAACAGCACTCTTGGCATATGACGTGCATTCATTCAGATGAATGAATTTAAGCGTTGCCATTTCTGAATGCGAGACAGATAACTTTGACTTGAGCAACAGGTGCATATTGGGGGAGGAAGGACACAAAGTTAAAGAGAAAAAGGTTCTTGTTTAAAACGACACAGTATCAAGAAGGAAGGATCTTATCTATTACATTCAGCTGCGTTTATTCTGTGGCGAGCTTACTTACTTGGGGTTTATATTTTCGCCTTGTTCTTGGAGGGTTTCCAAATGATCTCCGCCAGTCAGTACGAGTCGAACCTTCTCATCTTTGTCGTCCAATTCAACCAACATGTACTCAACCTAAAAGCAAATCATCAAACATAAGCAGGATCCATGAAATACATTCTTGTTAAGCACTCTTTTAAATTTCTTTGACGGTTTTCAATCATCGCTAAACTAAGGCACAAAGCAGCCATGTTCAAGATCAGACGGCAGCACATCAACTCCAATTCATCAGTTATGTTTCCTTGACTCTGACTCTGCTACCCTCTAATCCCCTGTCTGAAAGAGGGATTAATCTATAAAAACAGCATTCCACAATGTTCAAAATCAAAACACTTTGTTCAAAGCTGGAGCACTCTGAACTTTTTTGGACTGGGTGGCGGGCAAAAACTAATGTGTTCCTAACTGTTTGTTAACAAAGGATAATGAAGCAGGATTTAGGTTAAAGTTTACTCAACATGGGGAGTCTTCAGGTATTACAAGTAGTACTGCCCGGGGTGTTTTATTCATTATACAGTCACTAGGAAACGGCATGATTGTAATAATAATAATACTACATGATACTTGTATAGCACTTTTCTAGACACTCAAAGACACTTTGACAGAGAATAAAAAACAACAAAAAAGAAAAAAGAAAAAGAAAAATAGAAAATAGGGAGGG